GATATATGACTAGCTGTAAAACTCATTGTCACTAGATTATTTGGGGACCAAGAACTTGGGATAGGAAAAATGATTGAACAATAATATCCTAACGGAGAAAGTAAGGCACTTTCGGTGCCTTAACAGTTCGGTTCTTTAACATAATACTGGAATTTAAATCTAATTATTTGGAGTATTTTTTTCTTGTATACAAGCTTTGGGGGGATTTTCCCCTCCGACACACACAGGAAAACACTGATTCATTGAAACCAAAAGTAGATGATGAAGTCAGTTCTGTCAGAATTGTCACTTAATGCCATGAAACATTCTTAACACCCTATTTCAAAGGCACAAGGAATTGGGAGCAATCTCCCAATCTACTGAGTCCAGACCTCATTCAAACCTTTCTATAACTGATTGAGATCTATTTTGAAATCAGCCAAGCTTCAACATTTTGTGAAAGAAAAAGCTCCTCTGCTGGTTTGAAAGGTCTTTCTTTTTGAAACTGGAATCACAGAATCACAGCGAAACGTAGGCAGGAGCAGCCCCTGGGAGGTCACCTATTCTACCTGCCTGCTCAAAAAGCACAGGTTCAATTAACGTGAATGATTCCAACACCGCTGAAATGAAATATTTTGATTGAGCCGACAGTGATGGTTTTCTTTTATCAATTTTGAATTTGCAACACTTTTTGAGACTCGACATTTTTTTGGCAGGGAAAATGCTCAAATTCCCAAAGATAGATTTTATTTCTGAGAATGGGAGGCATTTAGACTTGGCTGACCAGGATACCCTGGGATGTTCAGTTTACAATGTAATCCCAGCTCACGAAAAATCCTGAACGGCCACTTCAGAATGTGTGCGCAGGGCGGTTCCTCCCAGTGACACCCACAGCACAGGATGGGACAGGCAGCAATCACACTGCAGGGGTTTGGGTACCAACAGAGCTGAAAATTTGATACTCTTGGATATATGCTTCATACTAAAAAACTTCCATCTTTACTACATGGTTACAAAGGTCACTGTATTTTTGTTGGTTACTTATGTCTCCCCTAATGCACCCCAGAGATGTAACAGAGGACTATAAAAGCCACACATTTGTCCCAGCCCAATAAAAGCTGGGGAGTCATAGATCCCATACCCCATAGACCCTAAATCCATGTCACAAGTATTCATTTTGGTAGTGGTCTGGAAGTGCTAGGCTCTCTCTCAACCTACCTGCTATAAAGAGCCAAGAAAGTGGCTTGGATAAGAAAATATGAAGCTGAATGAACATTTTCTAGGCAACTGCCTGGGAGGTGACAGGCAAAGCAGCCTAAGAGCAAGTTTGATTTCTGTGGTTAGGGCAGATTCCCAAGACTTCTGTTCAACACTATGACTTGGTCTCTCAAGCAAAGGGATGGTGTTTCTTCCCCATCTTTCTATCTTGTGATTGCAACCTTCAGATCAGAGACTTTCTGTGTGTGCATGTCCACCGCTGGTGACATTTGAATGCTGCGTGTCACTGTGTTCCTGCTTGCATGGCCCTGGTAGCAGTGGTGGTGCCTCAGGATCTCTGCAGGCACACCATGGAACAGCCAGGAAAATGTCCCCCTCTAAGGAGGTGTCCCCAGATGATCTTGATGCTTGGACTACACACAGTCATCTTTCTTTAACGGCCCTTCCAGACAAAATGGGCAGCAAAATGATACTTATGAGAAATGCACAAGGACTGAAATGCAAAAGTGAAAATGTTTTATTGAAAAGCAAAATAAAATAATACTGACACTTCACAGAACAAATAACACAAAGGCAAAAACATACAGAAAAGAGAAGGGAAAACTCTGGAACAGCTGTACAACATCAAATGGCACAGGGCGGAAGACATTTTTTCCAATTTGTGCCACGCTGTTTCCCCATGAAATAACAATGAGGAACTTTGTATGAGCTGCATATTGATAAATGTTAGGTTAGAGCACAGAAACTCAAACGACCCAACTGAACTAGACAGATGCTGTGACAGAATCCCATAATGGAAACCACATGTGGCATAGGATGAAATGGCGGGCGTATTCGAGGTGCTTTGCAGATCTGCATTACAGCTGGGACTGGGGTTTACCCCTGGCCTGACAGCTCCCCGCAAAGCCAGTGATAAAACTCCCAGGGGCAGCAGAGCCTGCTCCAGCGCTATTCCTTCCACGCTGCTCCCTCTGGACATCTTGGGTCCCCTTCAGACCATTGCACCTTTTGCCTTGTGGGTGCTCTGCTGATGTCTCTCAGTAATCCTGTTCTGGGGTTGCAATGAATGCCAGAGAAAGTCCTGGTCCGTTGTTTATTTGGAAAACTCTCTGAATAAAATTAACAAAATAAATGAGGTGGATTTAACTTCCTAAAATAATCAGACTAACTAAAACATCAGCAGAAGTTCTCTTGGTACCTCAGCCAAAACTGGGATGTGATGTGGTGAGGTCTGGGATGTTAATTGAATTTATGCGTATTTTTGAGTTAATTTTTTAAAAATTAAATTGGAATCTAACACAGTTCTGCTTTGGCCTCAGGGCCTTCCCTCTGCCTGCAGATCTGGCAGCCGATTACAGGGATGCTGAAAACACAAACAAAAAGGTGAAGCTGGGCAAAATGACACTGTTGCAATGGCTTCACAAAGCTGAGCATGGTTTTGAGTGCTATCTCATACAAATGAAGCTTTCTGGAGCGTGGGAAGCAGCTCTGCCCCTCCACAGACAGCCACAGTAGAAAAGCTCGTACCAGCAAAGCTTTCAGGCACCTATGAGCAGATGAGGAGCTCCACTGCCTTCAGTGAAGCTGCCTGCAATTTTACCTGCTTAAAGCAAAGCTTACTTGGGGGGGGAGGATGAAGAAGAAGGTGAGAAAGAAACTCTGTTTGTTCCACGTTTGTACAGTACCTGCCCAACGGCATGGGTGGCTGCAGCTCCCCACTGCCCTGGAATAACATTATTAATCATAAGATTCTAAGAACAAGGGGCTTTGCCAATGCCGGGATTCAGCCCCACACCTTTAAGGCTGGGCTGTTTACTGGGATGCCCTCGAACCTCCCTGCTCAGCTGGGCGAACAGTGCATAGACTCCAAATTGTAGTGCTTTTTTAATGCCATTATGAATGGCTATGCTTCACCCGCTGGACACAAACAAAGCGAAAGCATGAGTCAGAGGTGACTCAGGAGCAATCATTATCGACAAAAAAGAAGCATGCACTTAGAGTGCGTAATACCGAATTCCACAATTAAGTGGGCAGACCTTTGCATTGGGAGCTACAGGAGTATGGAGACACCCCCAGAGCTTGTAGTTTTATGTGAAAATATTGTGAACAACAGTACCAGTCAATGCCAGGGGCCCGCTGTGCTTTGGTCTGTCCTACAAGGGAATGGACACTCCCCTCCTCAGTCTGAAAAGCCTGTCTGCCGGGGGGTAACTCACCAGGTCCTCTTCTATGCCTGCTGCCTCTTATTGAAGCAAGGACTGGCACTGAGTGGTTTTTTATATTTCCATTTTGTGCAAAAGTTGCAGAAGCTGAGATACATCCTCTGTTCTGCAGCTCTGGGCTGGAAACAAGATGGGTGGAGACTTGCTTTGTAAGGCTAAGCCTAGTTTAAACCTGAGCCCTGAATTCTGAATGGTGATATTGTTCATACCCAGGCAGAGAACACTGAGTCTTCATAGAATCACAGAATAGTTTGGGTTCGAAGGGACCTTTAAAGGACATCTAGCCCAACCTCCCCTGCAATAAGCAGGGACTTCTGCAAGTGGATAAATTGGCTCAGGGCCCCATCCAATCTGACCTTGAGTATTTCCAGGGATGGGGCATCTATCACCTCTCTGGGCAACCTGTTCCAGTGTTTCACCACCCCCAACGTAAAAAATTTCTTCCTTAAATCTAGTCTGAATCTACCCTCTTTTGGTTTAAAACCACTACATCTTGGCCTAACATAACAGGCCCTACTAAAAAGTCTGTCCCCATCTTTCTCATAAGCCCCCTTTAAGTATTGAAAGGCCACAACAAGGTCTCCCCAGAGCTTTCTCTTCTCCAGGCTGAACAACCCCAACTCTCTCAGCCTTTCCTCATAGTCTTACCCAGCTGGACAGAGCTAGTGGTTTTTAATAAGTTCAAATAAGTTTGTAGGGTCTCTTGGGTAGTGGACATATACCCAGTGCCACCCCAAAGGCCTCCGCAGCACCTTGCATGATGCTTTCCCCCACCCAGCAGCACAGAGACAGTAGGGGGGTTCAGTAGTAAATTGGGGTTCCTTGCAGTGCTTGTGAAGTCCCTGAGTTTACTCTACAAAGAAGCATCTCTCAGACATGCTCCACGGCCTGTACTAATGAGAGATTTCCCCTGGATTACAAGCATTACAGCCCTGAAGGGTCTGGGGTACTCGGGAGACTGCAGAGTCCCAGAGACTGACCACTTATTAGTAGAAATGCTACAGTACAAATATCACCTAGCAGAGCTTGCTTTCTTTTTTTTTTTGTTAATGCTTTTGTAACAGCCATTTCACATTGCCAAACAATCTGAATGCACCTGCTCCTACAGAAATGTAGGCAGCAAAGATGAGGAGCCTCAAGAGTTTACACTCCCCCCACCGAAGCAGAAACCTGTGATTCCACAGTGATCAGGACTATATAGCTGGGACGTATATGAAAGGCTCTATACTGGAGCTACCTTTCAAACTGTTCCTCAGCCTCTGCAGCAGGGACCAAGGACCAGGAAGGAGTGAAGCCACTTAGGAGAAGAAAAGAGCTCTGTCCTGGATGCTAACAAAGGTCCCATAGGAACTGGATCTAGGAATACTGGCCTATGCAAATACCATGCTATCACAAGGTGCTGGCTGCATCCCACCCGGATAGCCCAAATTTAGACCTTGAGCCCAGGGCTTTTGTGGTTGATGACAAGGACGTGCATTTGCAGAGAGGAGGTGTATGCATCTTTGGTCTCTCTACTGCCAGGGCAGTAGAAAAGCTGCAGGGAGGCATGACTGTCCTCTGAAATGCTTGGGGAACAGCCCTTCACGGCAAAAACCCTGAGTTCCTTCCCAGTCCCTGGCCTAACTTGTGGATTTTTGGGGTTTGTTTTGTTTTGTTTTCTGATGGTGTCAAACATTTTTCAGGGATACGTATGAGCCCATCAAGGCTCAAACTCCTGCTAATTTTTTTCACTGGCATTTCCACCTGCAGCTGCTTCCAGAACCTGCCCTTTGGGAACTTGGATTTCTCGCCTTTCCATTTAATGACAGTCAAGGCCGCCTTGGCCTGCTTCAGCTCCTTCACTTTGCTCTTCTTGATGGCTTTGTACTGCACTAGAATGACTTTGATGTTGCCCTTGGAGGCCATATTCTCTAGACCAGCCTTGAGCTCCAGCAGGGCCTGTGTCCCCTGCAAGACGTAGTTGGGGCTCAGGACAACAAGCAGACGTCGGCTTTTCTGGATGAAGCTCAGGGTCTCATCTGTGACAACTGGGAGAAAGAAACATTGAGTGGTTAGCGATGGTCGAGAACATGCTGCTAAGCTGCTAGTGTGACACCAGATGTCTCTTGAAGGGGACAATAAAATCCCTTGGAGGCCCTCTCTAGAGACTATACTGGTGCTTCCCAACCCTGCAAGCGATTCTAGGTAGGGCTTCTTACGCCATGGCTGGCACCCACTGCCCCATACAGTGACATCTTCTACTCCCAGCCCCAGGCTGCCTACAGATGTGTTTCCTCCTCCCCAAGCTATGCGGAGATGCCCGAGGTAACTGCATCTAAAAGGCACCGTACTATGTGGCAGTGACACCACCCAATGCTATGAGGATGCCATGTGGCCAAGATGGCTGCTCTGGTAAGCGCAGATTTAGCTTCCTTCTAGTGAGAGTGGAAAAAGAGGCTCTCTGGAGCAAAGCAGGAAAATTGCCAGCTGGACAACACATGAGCTCAAGGAAAAGACTCAGCCTGAAGAGGCGTCGGGAAGCCCAAATGCCCATGCTTAACATCCTCCCCTAGCAGATGTCCAGAATGACTCTGGTAATCCCTTCACTCCTCTTGCCTCGGTTTCCCCACACCAAACACACACAGTAAGTATCTACACCCTCCCTGAGTGTCCTCATGAGTTAATGTGCTTTGGAAATACTACCATCCTAACTCCTGTTACTCATCCAGCTGTTCCTGTTGCTGTCATTGATGAAAGCAGATTTGAGTGTTTCTAGAAGTGACAAGTAAACTGCTCTGAGGACTTTTAATGAAGTGTCCCAAAAGTGACACCCTTTGAGCTGGAGACATGTCATGGTAACCGTGGATCCTCTTTTATTTTCTAACATCTACAGGTAGACTATCCTTAAGCACCTTTCTGTAATTAATGTGAAAATTCCTTGTAAGTGTGAATCCCGATGCTTGCACTCTCTGCTGCAGGATCTCCCACACTTCATTGACAAGGGAATACTCTTGACTGGTCAGAAAATAATGGAGAATAAAATAACGCTGACATGCAACTTAATTTAGCTGTCAAGCACGTTTGATTAGTTTCTGTCAGCAAACTTGCAAGATAATCCATCTCCCACTGTTTCTTCATCAAGGACAACATAACTCTCTACCCGTGTCATAGATGCACACTCTGGAAGCACAACACAGCTGCCAAAAGCTATTTCCTGGCTCGCTGTGCTTCCCCAAGAAGGAGATTAGTCAAATCCCAGCTAAGAAGCAACGGAGAAGCCCCAGCAGTGTTGCAAACAGCAGTGCAATGAGGAGCCACCCCAGCAGTGCTCCGGAGGGCTGGCACGACTGCCACGGTGAGCAGGGATGGGAGCACCCCGGGCATGAGGGTGAAGGGCAGGGAGCCCAGGAGAGCTGCACTGGGCGGAAAATGAGACCCTCCAAAGGGAAAGGGGAAGATGTCAAGAAGTGGCAGAGGCAAGGGGAGGGAGGTGAGGAGGGAGGTGTGTCTTGAGGAACAACTGGTGAGAAAAGCTCAGAGCAAACCTGCTCTGAGCCTGGCACTGGTATCAAGCAATAGAGCCTGGAGGGTGCCCTGCCATGTCATCCAGGCTCTCTCTAGAAGGGAGAGCATCAGGATTGCAGCTGTCTCCCTGTCCCGAGGTATTTATTTGCCTTCAAACTTAGATGTACTGTGTCCTGGCAACGATCTAGGAGATAAAGATAAAAGATCCCAGACTGATTCTGCTCCCTCTGTCACACAGCTGAGCTGGGACTCCAGTAGTCCCTCCTGTCCTACCCAAAAGGGACCCCAATGGACTTTATCAGCACAGGTTCTGTCATCAGTGGGGTCCTGACCCAAAGCCCATGAATTTAATGTGGGGTGGTCTGCACTGGCAGAAGTTCAGGCTTTGAACTTTTAGTGGGCATCAGGGATCATACAGCCCACTGAGGCCCCAGGAAACTGGAAATGGAGAGTGTTGGCTAGATTTGTGCCTTGGCTGTGGCACCTGTGTGACTGTATGCGTATCTGGAGAGTTTCACAAACTTCCATTCTTGGTGATTCCCTGCATCCCTCCAGCAGATGCTGTGTCCAGAACCTTGTATGATTTACATTGAAATAGTGAAAAAAATCTACATCTTAACGAAGAGATGAGTCTCACTACCTGCAACAAAGCGCTCTTAATCATAGCAACTTAATTGTATGCCATGTTAGACACAGACTCTCTAATTAATGAGAGTGAGTGGGAGGCCTTCTGGGAGGGCACGTTATCTTCTCACTGATTTGGCACGGTGCTCTCCACACCTCCCTGAAGACGACACTCCTGGTTTTTACAGGCACTCACCATTACCCTCTGTGAACTACGAGTCTGGTCCAGTATCTCACTCCCACTGCCTCTATTCTTTCTACCCTTGACTTTATCCCCTTTTTTTAAGGCAGCTCAGACGGTTTGCATGAAGGTCAGTGGTCCAGTTCCCTCATGTTGATAGATCAATCACTCCTGTACATCACTCCTGGGGAGAGCAACTGAAATGACCAACAATCACCACTTGCCCACTGCAGACTTTTTGATGGCCTGGAGCATCTGCGACATTGTCATATGAAGCAAAAACATTAAAAGATACCAACAAGAGATCGTTAACGGAGATGGGGAAAAAAACAAAGGATAAAGTTAGTCTGGATAGGCCAGTTCCTATCAATTATCAGTACCTCAAAGAACAATAAAGAGAGAATGCGCATGGAGCACAGCCCCCTGTGAAATACTCACTTCCCCCAGGGAGGCTGTCTCTGTCGAAGATACACAGCTTGTACCCAAACTCGTTCTCCAAGACTCCCCGCAGGGTCAGCAACACAAATTCTTCCTCCTCCGCGTTGCGTGCGTAGGACACATACACATCGTACTCCTTCCCATCTGAGCGTTGGGAGCGTAGAGAAACACAAAGAAGAGACACTTGTGATACTGCACATGCTGAGCCTTTGACTTGCTTCACGGGAAAAGCAGGTATGAAGGCTCGCTTTGAGCCCAGGCACAGCAGGTTAAGACACATCGATTTCCGTAGTTACAAGACAGCAGTGCTGCCTCTTTGACTATCCAGCCTGAATGTGCAGGTACCCAGACACTGCTGGGTTGCTGAAGGCACGAGACTGCAGCAAGATGACCAACCCGTTTGGTCCAGGGTCCTTTTGTCTTTTGACATCTCTGACATTGCTTCCTCTCATTGCTGTCTACCCACATAAGCAGTCCCACCAGACAGAGACTTGCACCCTGCCTACATCCTCCGAGAGCTGCCGCACCCCCTTGGCAGGTTCACACCACACGCTACAAGGGCTTGAACACCCTCCTCATCCTACAGAGGAAGAAATCTCAGCTTAGAGTCCCAAGAGATGAACTCCCAGTAGCATAGGGAAGCTGTGAAAGAACTGAGGACAGAAGAGTGATTTCCAGATCCATCCTTTTGGGTATCTTCCCACATTTTAAAGCAAATCATCCTGGATTTGTGAATCCTTATATAGTCACCAGAGAAACCAGGGACTTACTGAAACTTGGTGACTTATCTTGATCATCTAGATCAGATGAAACAGCTAGCCATTGGCAGGGTAGTCCCCTAGGGAGCCTGACACATCTATGCTTCACCTCTGCAGAGAATACAGAGGACTTATCTCTTCCTTCCCCTGACTCCTCTTGCTCTAAAATGACCCACACAACTGAATGCAGGTATAGAAATGGAAGGTCAAAATGTCATTATGCTGTGAAGAAGGTTAAAAATAACTTATATGAAAATTCCTATATGAAAACAAAGGATCTGGACTGTAGCAAGATAAAATAAATGGAAGCCCTTTAACTCCTTACCTAGAATGGTTTCATCTGTTCCAAAATGAGCCCGATAGAAGAGGACCATTTCAAGCCAATAAACGTGATAGACGACTATCAGTACCACAATGAGCAGGATGGTTGCCCCCAGTCCACAGGCCAGCTCCACGGTGTACTTCGGTGCTACAACTGGGTTTGAAAAGAAAGAGGGGGTCTGGTTTACAGAACAGGTTGGGCCTTCAGCTAAGCAGGAACAAGCTTGTGTCACATGCAGCCAAACACCACAGAGGAACAGCCAAGAGACAAGCTGGCCCTTCAGAGGAAGGTGGCCATGCCAAGGCTTTTCTGGCAGGACACATGACGGCTAGCTACCCTGCAGTCCCCATTCTGGGTTACTAGGTCTGGTTGGGCTGGCAGAGCAAGTCAAAGCACACGCTGGACTTCTGTCTCTGAGCAAGACCCTGGGAGCAGCCAGATGGTAGAATGACCCGTTGATGGAAACCACCTGCACAGTCCAAAGCCAGCTCATGAACGTGATCATCTCAGCAGCATATGCAAACTCTTGGGGTAACACAACAGCACTTACTTCTAGGAGAGCCAGCCAAAGCTCACCTGCAGCAAAATAAAGGCAATGCCCACCATCTTCCCCCCCCATCAAATTCACACAGTTCTTGTGGCTTGTCCCAGACTGACAGCAAGGATATAACTAGCCATGGCCTGATTGTTTTCTACCAGGAAAGAAGAATCAGAGTTCATTACAGAAAAGTTGAAATGCTTGCAAACAAATAGGACAACCTGTGGACATCAAGCCAGAACACCACAGCCCACCTCCAACTCATACAGTGTCTAACACACCACTGCTGCTTCTTTGTATTAAGGACAGAAAATAACTATTCTAAGTGTATCTCTGGGCAACTCCATTTTTATGGTGATTCTGGTGGCAGCTGACATGCAAACTGCATGATAAAAGAACAGCAGTGAGTAGAAACATCACCAAATTTCAAGATTTAATAAGTTTTATTAGAAACTGAATTACAAAAAAGAAAATGGAACGCATTTAACAACTTTCATTAGGTGATGAGCAGCAGAAGTACATGAGAAGGAGAGGGAAATCATCCAGAAAAAGCAGGAAATGTATATAACCTAATGTAATGAAAGAGTTGGAGCCAACATATATAGCTACTTGCTAAGAACTGGAAGACAAGTGCTGAGGGGTTAGGTTCTGGCATGCTTGATGTTCCTACGCGCAGTGGGATGGTCTGCAGTGAGCTTAGCTTAAGGTTGCTCTACCAGCAGTGGTCAGGGGTGGTTCTTGGCTTTTGCTGTGGAACAGAGCAGACAGGAGGGGTGGCGAGTAACCAGATCTGCTCAGAGCAAACCCACTCAACTGCCCAGGAGCAGACGGGGGAGGAAGAGAGAGGTTATTACAGATCAGTCCCCTAGAAAACAGCATTTAGGCACTGCTGTATAAAGAAAGAATCTGAAGATTTTTAGATTTGCTTCTGCTACATGTACAAACATTATCATCGCAGAAGAATTATGCATGTAGGATGAACACACTGGCCTTTCTCAGTTGTGTGTTTGGTCTATTGTTCCTTCCTAATGATCCAGAAGAGGTTTGTCTCAAAGGAATGGGACTAAAGGAATGGGACTAAAAAGGAGGACAAGTACCAAGAAGGAAGAGAAAGAGCTCTTTCAGTACAGACCTCTGTGAGCCTTCCCATGCTAATATGGCAGAGTGGGGGGAAGAAGGTGTCTGGCATGAGCTACACAAGGCAGGTCAGCATCCCCTTATGGGATGGGGGAAGAGAGGGGAGGTCACGCAAGCAGGTGTTGAAGCTCTAGATGAGGTTGATAAGGAGGCGGAAATATCCACCTTAATCAGGAAACCTCACATATCTATAGCGAAGGCTCAGTTCTTATTACTGAGAGGTGAGTCTGGGAAACAGGAACAAAATCTTTCATGAAAGAAAGATGTAGTAAAAAACACACTGAACAGAGCTGGATCAGTCCATAGCATCCATGCTGAGATGGCTGTATCTAGACTGGAGCATCATCACAGCAAGGAGTAAAACC